CAGAAAGCTTAATACGTCGACTATATATATATATACATTTAGTACGTCGACTATATATATATATATATATATATACATATATATAATACAAATATGAATAAACAGTTGATGTGTGTAGCAAATGAAACATCCACACGAGACTTGTAATAATACGTCAATCTCAACACACAAATCACTTTAATCCGCATGTACCCCACCTACATTGAATAGTTTCAGACGGTCTAGTTCCATGTCACCAGAAAGTACCGCAACATCAGTGACGACCTTGAGTCCAAAGATATCTGAATTCCGGATTTTTTCACGAACGTACTCGGCCGCAACCTGTAACATTTGACCCATGAACGTCCATATATACGATAACTTAGCTCACTTTGCAGCTATAGTTCCAATTCTAATTCCAATTGAATCTGACCACAAATATACTCGGCCGAAACTTGATCTATTTGCCCCCACAAAAGGCCAAAATGTGCAATATACTAATCGACATTGGCAAAGGTTTGAATATAGGATAAAACTTCTAAAAATTTCCTAAACTTGTGATAAACTGTCTCATGCCATCATCGGCAGCGCTTGTGTAGAGGTTCTGCCTAAGCGCTTTGTTCGTGCGACACGTGTAAAGCAGTGATACAAATGAGAGTGCAGATCAAATTATCTATACAGGCGTACTCAGACCTGTATTACGTACAAGAGATGCTCAGCCTTTCAAAAAGCAGCACGTTGTAAAGAGCTTTTTTTGGAATGCTTTCTCGCATACAAATATATGACCACTGTTCTACATATATTTCTGTATCTATTATGCAGCGGCAGGATATATCTGTAGAGATATATATGTTTAGAAGTCACGCTCGAAGCAAAGTCCAGAGATAGCCGTAGAACCACCATCGCCAAAACTCGGCTGGAAATGACATCAGTATGTATGACAACTGCAAGAATATACAAGGGATCATCCTATGCGATACTCCCAACTTCTTGTATCATTCTATATTTCTTCAAGGTCTTGAATAAGGACCTCATAAATCCACTCTACTCAATGAAGAGGCTATATGGTATGGATTCCCTACAAAAATTCCCTTCACAAATATAAGGCGAAATGAACAGACTGCAGTGTTTCGAGGTCGACACTAACAACCCACCATTCGTGAGATGTCCTATGGAAGATGTGCAAGGCGATGTCATGATTGAAACTGTACATCATTGAATCATGTAAATAAACATACATA